AAGTACAGGATTTCAGTGGAGGTTACAACACCGCGCACAAGCGCCCTTGGCCAGGGCTGAACGCAGGGCAGCGAGCCCTCCTCCACCAACTCGTCGGAAGGTGACCAAGTGCCGCCGAGGGGCCTTATCGACTGGCCCGGTGACCAACTGCCACCTCGAGGCAAGAAACCCCAAGTTTCATTGGAGGAAGTAGAGGACGAAGAAGCCCACTTACGGTCCGACATTCCGACTATCGGACCAAAGGGGAAGTCTCCTGTGACCCCCGAGCATATGCCAAAGGACGAGGTCCAAAAGCCCATCCTGGATACGTACTACGAGCCCTTCAGAAGGCATTGGACCCGGAGGGCGCTACGACTCGCCACCAATGAGTCGGCCGCCTTCGCCACCCTCAATCGATGGGTACACCCCCGTCGCATGGGGGAAGTAACGGTCGAGCTATGGGAGGCGCTCAAGGAGCAGCCTGAGACCGCTGCGGAAGCCAGAAGTAAGTGGGAGTGGATGGAAGACCTTACCAAACCACCCATGTACATACGAGGAAGGAAAGGGCATAATGTATCAGTTACCATGCAGTTGGAGACCCTAGACACTCGCGAAACGCACTCCCTAAAAGCGCTCGTAGATAGCGGGGCCACCAGTAGCTCCATAGACCGTGCCTGGGCCCAGAGCCACGCTCTCAACCTCAAAAAGGCGGCCCGACCCATTCCGGTTTACAATGCCGATGGCACCCGAAACAAGGGTGGTGACATCACTGAATATGCCGAGGTACGGCTACGCATCGGAGACCACGTGGAACGAATCGAATTAGCCGTGGTTGATCTAGGCACCACCCCCCTATTCCTCGGGCATGATTGGCTGCAGAAACATAATCCGCTAATTGATTGGAACACCGGAGCGGTCACCCTGGCTCGCTGCGCCTGCCACAGAATTCCGTTCTCCCTACCAGATACGGACCCTTTGTCCAGGTGGGACGAATATGAGGAAGGGGACACAATCTTAGTGATCGACTTCGAGGAGGCGTTCCATGTACAAGCCATGGGCACTAAGGCCAACAAGCTGGCCACCCAGGCCAATGCTCGAAAAGAGACAAAGTCCTTTGAAGAAATAGTACCAAACGAATATAGGGACTTTGAGGATGTCTTCGCCAAAGAGAACTTTGACGAGTTACCCCCGTGGAAACCCTGGGACCATGCCATCGAGTTAATCCCTAATGCCAATGCCAACCTGGATTGTAAGGTCTACCCTCTTAACCGCACGGAACAGGAGGAGCTGGATAAGTTTTTAGACGAAAACTTGTCCACGGGGCGCATCCAAGCCTCTAAATCTCCGATGGCATCCCCGTTTTTCTTCGTAAAGAAAAAGGACGGCAAACTTCGCCTGGTCCAGGACTACCGAAAGCTCAACGAAATGACCATCAAGAATCAGTACCCATTACCCCTCATCGGAGAGCTTATGGACCGGTTGAAGAAGGCCAAGTACTTCACCAAGTTGGACGTATGGTGGGGGTACAACAACGTTAGGATAAAGCAAGGAGATGAGTGGAAGGCCGCCTTTCGAACCAACCACGGCCTCTATGAACCACTAGTAATGTTTTTCGGCCTCACCAACTCTCCGGCCACCTTCCAGTGGATGATGAACGACATCTTCAAAGACCTTATCACCGCAGGGGAAGTGTCGATCTATCTTGATAACATACTCATCGCATCAAAGAACAAAGAGGATCACAGACGCATAGTGCGCGAGGTACTCCGGATCCTCCGCAAAAACAAGTTGTTCCTCAAGGCGGAGAAATGCGAGTTCGAAGTAGAGGAGACAGAGTACTTAGGAGTACTCATCAGTGAAGGAAGGATCCGCATGGACCCCGTCAAAATCGCCGGCCTCTTGGACTGGCCTATCCCGTCGAAGAAGCAGGAACTCCAGTCCTTTTTGGGCTTTTGCAACTTTTACCGATGATTCATCCGTGATTACAGCAGGCACGTCAAACCCCTTACTGTCCTCACAGGGAAGGCGGAATGGAAATGGGGGGAGGCCCAGCGAGCGGCGTTTGAAAAGATCAAAGAACTGTTCCACGAGGATGTGGTTCTAACCATCCCGCTGGACGAGGGGAAATTCCGAGTAGAAGCGGACTCCAGTGAGGGAGCGATAGGAGCGGTACTCTCACAGTGGCAAGAGGAGAAGTGGCGACTGGTGGCCTTCCTCTCCAAGGCACTATCGGTTACAGAACACAATTATGAAATCTACAACAAAGAGCTCCTTGCCATCATGATTGCATTGGAGGAATGGCGACAATACCTTATGGGCGCTCAAGAGAACTTTGAGATTTGGACAGACCATTCCAATCTCCAGTACTTTCGAAAGCCTCAGAAGCTCAATCGATGACAAGCTCGGTGGGTTACCGAACTGGCCGAATACCAGTTCACCTTACACCACAAGCCAGGAGCTCAGAATCATAAAGCCGATTTGTTATCCAGACGAGGGGATCACGACCAGGGGAAGGACGACAACCAGGATGTGATCATCTTGAAGCCTGCTCATTTTCGAGCCCTTATCATGCCCACCACGGAAGAGCTACACGAAAAAATCAAACTAGCCACACACGACCCGCGTAAGTGGGACTGGGGCATCTCCGACTCCCTTAACCACGAAAAGGGGGTCTCGTGAGACCAAGGATTACTATGGTACGATGGACGTATCTACGTACCCAGGGACAGGCAGTTGCGGGGCGAAATCATCGCCCTACGGCACGATCATGTAACTGCAGGACACCCAGGAATAGAAAAGACGAAGGAGCTTGTTTTACGAGACTATTGGTGGCCGAGGATGCGCGGAGAGGTGGAAGCCTACGTAAAAGGATGCAAGGTTTGCCAACGAACCAAGGCGGATCGTCGCCCCAGGAAGGCGCCTCTCCACCCTAATGAGGTTCCGGATCGACCATGGACGCACATTTCGGTCAACATGATTACTAAACTCCCTGATTCAAGAGGAAATGATTCCATTCTCGTGCTGGTCGACAGATTCTCTAAAACCATCATTCCTATCGCGTGTACTGAAGAACTGACGTCCCTAGGCTTCACCAAGATACTACAAGACCACATCTATGTGCCCTATGGCATAATGCCGGAAAAGATCATCTCGGATAGAGGGGCCGTTTTTGTATCGAAATTCATGAAGGAGTTTTACGCCCTCGTCCAGGTTACCGGGAACCCTTCCACCGCTTATCATCCTCAGACGGATGGGCAAACGGAAAGGGTTAACCAAGAAATTGAGAAGTACCTCAAAATGTTTGTAAATTACCGACAAGATGACTGGAGTGATTGGCTACCCTTAGCCGCCTTCACTCATAACAATTGCAAACATTCGGCGACGGGTTTTTCCCCCTACAAGGTCGTCTTTGGGAGAGACGGACAGGTTGTCAAGACGGCCCAACGGCCCGACCGTGTTCCAGCCGCATCAAAACTAGTGCAAGGCATCAGGGAGGTGCAGGAAAAAGCCAGGGAATCACTGGAGCGAGCAGCCGAATCAATGAAGAAGGCCTATGACAAGCATAAAAGAGAGGCGGTCCAATATCAAGTAGGCGATAAGGTATGGCTAGACTCTACCAATCTAAACCTACCGCGACCCACCAAGAAACTCGGTGACCATCGAGTAGGCCCCTTTTCCGTCATAGCAAAAAAGGGAGCCTCGGCATACGAACTCAAACTCCCAGTAGGCTGGAAGATTCATAACCGATTCAACGAGTCTTTGCTGATGCCATACCATGCTCCCGAATTCCCAAACCAACCTCGCCCGGAGAGACCACCCCCCGAACTTATAGACGATGAGGAAGAATATGAGATCGAGGAGATAGTGGGCGAATGAGACAAAGCTGTCGGTCGCAGGAGCACTCGTCGCACTGTCATGGAATACCTGGTGAAATGGAAAGGGTACCCGGTGGAAGAAAACTCTTGGGTAAAACGCTCGGATCTGGCGAACGCGGAGGAACTCGTAAACGACTACGAGGCCCGAATCCAAAAGATTCTATGGGAAGTCAATGACAGAGGGAGGACTGTGGGAAGAGACAGTAAAATCCCACGTAACAACCCGGTTAAATACCACAAACCGGACACTCCTTGCGTGACCGACATCGAAACCGTTTACTCGTCGCAGTGCTCAGCCGCAGCGCACTCCGAAGAAATTAACATAGTAGGAGAGGCCGCAGCGTCAGATGCGGGACGAGAACACGGTCTAGTCTCTGTCACGTCCTCGTTCCAGCAATTAGTGACGGATATCTCCAAGGCCATGGATCACGCCCTTCAAGAAAAAAATGCCCAGTATATGAAAGACCATCCGGAGGAAGTCCACGAACCACCTCGACACCCTCGACCAGAATGGCATGCAGGCCCCAGGTTTGACGATCCGCGTGTACACGATTCGTACTTGAAGCGCCGCCAAATAGAAATTGAAGCGTCACGACAAGAACAGCGCCCCTACAAAAATCCTCCCATTCTATTTGACCCACCGACAGATGATGACTCAGACGTCGGCTTACTTCAAAGAGTAACCGAAAATTGGGATGACGACCGTCTTTCTGACGTAGGGTCGGTCGGCTCCGATCCAGCGGAATCTGATAATTCCTCTGAAGACTACAACGAACCCCTACTATTGACCTCGGACAGGGAGGAAGGGGAATCTGATGACTCATTCGGGATGAACGAGTCTTAGGGAGGGGGTAATGTTACGGTTTATTCATTTCTTTCCTTTTTCTTCATGTTACTCAGCCTGATTACTCTTATGTGATCACAACGGATGCATTCCCACAGTACTATTATTAGTCTACCTAACGTGTATTTAAGTAGAGCCTCAGCTGGTCTAAACCCCAGCTTTGGCTAAGGTTTAATCTACCCAACTCGAACTCCGTCCTTCGTGACTATTTGCTCCCAATCCGCTTTGATATCGCCTTTGACTTGCTAGAGTATCTACCACCGAAGTGCGAGTGGTGATCCTAGTTCGATCTAAGTCGATTATTAGTTGGTTGTTGACACCACTGGCTTGTTCTTTGTGTCCAGTATATGGGCAACATCACTATTTTACCATATCAGTCTCTCTGGTCTTTAATCACTGATATATAGCTTACCTCTTCATTTTGCTAGAGTCAATCAGCAGGTATTTGTTCCGTGGTTTTGTTTCTCCTTTGTAGAAATCTTCCACCTTTATAAACATGTCAGTTATACTATCATATACTTGCAGTGAGTCTGTTACCTGTTCTTGATAGCTCTCTTCTTGACCTACTAGAGTTTTTGCCTCTAAAGCCCTTTCCCTCTCCTTCTCCATCCATTTCTCTCTGTTTTGACTGTTGATGGGGCATGATGTTTTTTCCAGTGTTATCAGAAGGCATATTGTTATCTCTGAGAATGGTTCTTGAACACTATTCATCTCTGTACGTTTGTGGTTAGCAAGTTATTATCTTGCTGATTCGTGGACTTACCCAGTTTATTCCGCTTCGACATGCTGCTTGAGTCCATTTGTGTTCCAGGAGTTACATTGGGCTTGTTTATATCCTCGTAAATCTTGCCCCATATTCTCTCTTGTCTGTTCGGAAAGCGGAAATAGCTGTCACCATACAAATTAACAATTGTCAATACCCTTGTATGATTGAATACCTTATACATATGTTGTCCAGGATAGCATCCATCTCCTCGAGGTCAGAGAATGGTACACTCTTGCCTCCTGCATGAAGGCTCAAGATTGAGCTCTCCTGGTCTGCATAACATTTCGATAATAACTGTGATACCTGCACTATGGTTTGTACCAGCCATACTAGATCTTCATCTGCAGACCAGTATCAGTCTCCTCATTGCTTCGTAAACCCATTAACATACCTGTGGGATCACGTAGCGCAAATGCTAGTCCAGAGATGTCCTCATTTGTTGTCCCTCTGACTTCATTCCCATCAGACAAATAGTATATGATCCTTGCCTTGAGATGCAATATGGCTATTATTGGCAATATCCACATTCCGCCTAGGCATTGAAATGAACCATTTGTTAGCTTGAACAGGTTTTGCATGCGAGCTTACTCACCTCCAGCAGTGAGATACAATGCTCGTGTACCTGCCTTGTATTGATTCTTCATCGTGTTTACCTCCAGTCCATAGTCCTGAGCTATCTCCTCCATACTGATAGTCTTGCCATCATTTGTTTTCTTGTGTTCCTTCTTGATCCTGAGAAGGGTCAATTTGTGACTCTTCCTGTGCTTGAGATTACTCACTCGTCTATCCAAATGACCAGATGCACCAATGCTCACAGCTGCAGAAAGTCATGCATTGCTTCCTTCCCATCCATGATATCCAGCACGGTATTGATACCCTTGAGCGAGTCCACTTTGATTTCATCTTTGAAGGTGTTTTTTGTTGTTTCAATCTTGATAGTGTTGCTGATCAACTGGGCTAGCCTTTGAAGGTTGTCGGGTTGGGTAACTGTTGTCATCATGGCTAGGCATCGCATCACTAGCAGCATAGGAGGTGGGGGCATGCCATTCGAATCCCATACTGGTTTGTGCCCCATGTATGGCTATTTCCACTCTTTTAGTAACACCATGGCTTCTTCCACACGATTTTCTGTATGCTGGCATATGGCTGGTCAGCTACCTTTATCATATAACAGTCAATGTAATACTCACCTCCTCCACAGCATTTGGTATGTTCCGTATAGCATCTCCTCCCCTTGTCTGGCTGTGCTGTGTCATCTCAGACTTTTGGTGTACAACCTGCCCCACATACAGTTGGTCTGAGACCCTGTATCATCGACAGATGCTTACCTGTAGAGCCTTCTGCTTTAGCGGGTGTCCTTCCATGCTGATTTTCCTTGGAGGCACCATGACATCCTTCGCTTCAGCATTGCGACAGTCCATTCTGCTTTTCTTCCATTTCAGCAGCGAGGTGGATTGCTCTACTTCATAGACACCTTCCCCTTCCTTTGCTGCACCATGCTTTCTCTTCTTGCTACAGGTTTCAGGAACCTGGTCTTGCTCTTGCATTGCATTGGCTACAGCTTCTAGGAAAGCATGACTTGCAGGGGTTTCAGCTAGGGGATTCACAGAAAGTTCCTTGATGAACTTGATTACCATATAAACATTGATTGAGATCTTCATGACTGACAAAATATTAGCATAATTATGTTTCTGTGTGCTGTGTGTAAATGAAGGAAGGAAGTAAGGGGTTCATGAACAGCAGATTGTCCCATGTTAACTGTGTCTTGGAAAGTTGCAATTTGTTCGCTTAATGGGCAATTCTGCCCAACAGTTTGACTTGCATGTGATTATAGCTGGAACTGATGTCATAGGTTCAGCTGATTGCAATGGCATTTCCTGCTTCCAATTCTCTGCATGTCTCTGTGACATGGCTCACTGTATATGTGCCAATTCTTGGGTTTTCACCCTCATGCGATCTGCCAACCCCATCTTGTGTGTACTCCCTACTTCGATATCTGCCAGTCTGGGAGAGTGGACTGTTACTGCGTTGCCGTGTACTGATGTGACCGGACTTATTTGTCACACATCAACCTCAGACCTCAACCACCAACCACCATCTTCTGACATCCCTCATTGCACCACTGTTCCTTGTTCCACCATAGCATGCTGGTTCAGTGACTACCTTATCTTTTATCATTTGTGCACCATCTCGCTGCAAGAGACTGCATGGTATGCAAAGTCGGTTACTGGAATGCTGTCGTCCACGACAGTGGGAAGGCTGTGTTGGACTGGATTAGCTGGTGATAGGTACAGTGAAAACTGGTGTGCTGTTAAATTGTTGTTGGATGCAGCGGGAGCCATGGAAACATTGTTAAGGCTGCATGGACTGACATGGTTGTTGCAGTGTTGAACTTTGAGCATTACAACATTGATGGATGAAATGGGATCTGGGAAGACATTGTGTGCATGTGTGGTATTGTCAGGATGCTCTAGGGTGGGTGTGGGTTGTGCTGTGGCATCAACACCATCATACGCAGCACATTGCAGTGATCTTTCATCACACTCCATGCCCATCACCTCGACAATGACTGTACCAGCTCTGTTGGATTCATATCCAAGTTAATGAATCCAACATTACTCACATTATGACATCTTATACACCCCATTGAAGAGGCTCTGTGCATGCCAAGTTCAAAATGCGATAGCTTAGACACACTAAACACACCCACTCTCACACTCACACACACACAGAATCTCAGTAGTTCAGGGGAGATGTGCAATGCAAGCACACAATAACGGTAGAATTAAAAGATGTCTTGCGCTCTTCAAGATATACTTTTGAGCTAGTGTGCTACTATAAGTCCAAATGCTTTTAGGACAGGAGGTAAGCAATATGTATCGCTCAGCCTTGAGGCAAAAGTAATATTTCCCAAGCCCACAAACATCCCACAAGAACGTACAACCCTCAATTGACGTTGCGCGCAACACACAGGTGGCTACAACCCGTCAAACAAACTACACATGACTTAAAGCTTCATGCTCTAAGCAGAAAACACTTCAGAGACCTTTTGTAGATCCACAGGGTTCAAACCTATGTGATCCAGAGACACAGAAACACAGAAACATGTCCACAAGCCACAGGGTTTGAACCTATGCTACTTGGGAATAAACCAAAAACCCTCAAAGAGTATTGACAAGCCAAAGGGTTCGAACCTCTGCCACTTGCAACAACTCAGAATTCACAAACACATTCTGCAAACACAAATGCACATTCAAGTTATCACAATACAATATTTCTCTGAGTTGAGCACAATCAATTACTGTCCAGAATCAAGCTAAGCATCGCACATGAGCAAGGCGTGCCTCGTGACCTCTCAAGGGTTTCAAAATAATTCTAGATCCAATAATATTCTCTCACTTGAAGCTACAAACACAAGTCCTTTGGTTGCACACTAGGCTCTCTGCTTCGTGTCACAACTGCAGGGGTTCGAAAGCTTGCTACCTACATCTAATTACCATGCTTTTATCTACAGCTAATTATATAAATAAAAATATCGAAAATAGATACACTCCACCCCAGAGCCATTTCCTCTCTGTGACACATCAATCACATGGTCACTAATTAATATTCTGAGTCAGTCATCTGAGTTAGTGCTCGATAACATGCTGCTCTTTCTTCTTGGCCAGGTCTAGAGTTGCCACATCATGCGGAATATTTCTCCTAATTGGCTCCTTGTTTTTAATTCCTCTGTCACGCACATTACTAGCGAGTTAGTATTTTTATTTGGTTGCTGCACAACCTTTTCTTAGTTCAATATTTCATTCTGGGTACAGGGTTTCTCTCATGTCGGCCGAAGCCCTCTCAGGAGGCTTGGACGGGGTGGTCCTTGGTGCTGAATGACATCTCTCAGTGATTGCCATATCAGCAGGGTTCACATGTCATAGATCAATGTTGCATGAAGCTCTGTAAATATATTATCTTCTCAGTGTATTTTATTTGAGCGAGATGCTGCTGAGGGATGCATAGGGTGTGAGTCAGGGCACTGAGACTCCACACTTAAATGACACCAGTGTGCCACTCTAAGTCTAAGCCATGTGCTCCACTCAGATTATTTTATTATATGCTGCTTCTGCCTCAACAGGTGTCACTCCATGCCGGGTATGCACTCTAATATTACTTAGTGGATTGACACACATTTGGATTCACAGAATTCGCAAAATTACATGTATGAACACATTGCACGCATGTCACTGTACACTCTTCAATCAACACTATGGTTATCTATCCCTCCCTGATACCATGTTGACACTGCCCTATCCCCTGATCCCATGTTCATCCCTTGGTACGTCTTCTCACACCTTCTGCATCCCATCCCATCAATCATGATCTCCATTGTGAACTGCATTCTGGGCTAGCCGTGGTGATAACCTCAAGTCAGGTGGGTGGGTGTGCTCATGTCTGACTTCTTCTAGCAGCAGGAGTGCTTGCTTGTATATTGTGTGTTTAGTGTTGAGACATACCAATCTCTGGAGTTCACATATGTCAACAACCAACTAATATCGACTTTGATCAAACAAGGATCGCCACTCGCACTTTGGTGGAACGATACACTTGCAGGTCAAAGTAGATAATTGGAGCCAGTTAGGGACTTAGATAGTCACGTAACACGGAGTACGATTTGGGTAGATTAGACCTTAGCTGTAGCTGGGGTTTAATCCAGCGTAGGCTCTCCTTTAAATACACATTGGATACACTATTAATAGTACTGTGAGAGTTCCAGTTAAATGGTAAGAAGCATATGAGTAAGCAAGAACACATAATGAAAAGAAAAGAAAAAGGAAGAAAGAAACGAAATGAATAAACCATAACATTACCCCCTTCTTAAGACTCGTTCATCCCGAATGAGTTCTCGCTCTCCATCTCTTCTTGTGAAGGTCTGGATTCCGAGTAGAAGGACAGTGTGTCGTCCTCTTCTACTTCTGAATCCTGATCCCAATTCTCATGGACTCGTTGTAAGTTTTCAAGATCCAGTTCTTCGTCTTCATCTGTTTCATCCATCCATTGAATTTTGGCTTCGTATTCATTAACTAATTCCTCGGCATTGGCCATATGAAAGTGTTTTACCCAGGAGTTTTCTTCCATTGGGTATCCCTTCCACTTGACGAGATATTTGGTTATTGTGCGACAATTTCAGCCTCATCCAATTACTCTGTCCTGCTGTTCTATGATTTCTTCAATCTCATACTCTTCTTCATCCTCTATAAGTTCTGGAGGTGGCCTCTCAGGGCATGACTGATTCGGGAACACTGCTGGGATGTAAGGGGTTAGAAGTGACTCATTGAAGGTTTTGTGGACCTTCCATCCTACGGGTAATTTGAGGGTATAGGCTGAGGCTCCCTTCTTTGCAATAATGGGAAAGGGTCCGACACATCAATCACTGAGTTTCTTGGTGGGTCGAGGCAGATGTAAATTTGTCGTGTCGAGCCACACCTTATCACCGGGGTGGTATTCTATGGCGACCCCTTTGTGTTTGTCATACACCTTCTTCATGGACTCCGCTGCATTTTCTAGGGACAGTTTTGCTTCTGCTTGTGCCTTTTTCATTTCCTTCACCAAGTCGGCCACCGCTGGAATGGTAGTCGTTCCTTGAGCATATGTGATGGTCTGTCCGTCTCTTCTGAAGACTACTTTATACAGGGAATACCCGGTGGAAGAGTGGCAACGATTATTGTGGGTGAAGGCGGCTAATGGTAACCATTCGCCCCAGTCATTTTGACGATAACCAATGAACATCTTCAGGTACTTTTCTATTTCCTGGTTGACCCTTTCAGTTTGGCTGTCCATCTGGGGGTGGTACACAGTGGAGGGGTTTCCTTGCATGTGAATAAGGGTATAGAACTCTTTCATGAACTTGGAGACAAACACCGGGCCCCAATCAGAGATGACCTTTTTGGGCATCACGCCATAGGGCACATAAATGTAGTCTCTCAAGATCTTGGCAAAGCCTAATGAGGTGAGCTCTTTGGTGCAGGCTGTGGGAATAATGGTCTTGGAGAACTGGTCTACAATGACTAGAATGGAGTCATAACCCTTGGAGTTCAGAAGTTTGATGATCATGTCTACCAAGACATGCATCCATGGGTGAGTTGGGACCTCATTGGGGTGAAGGGGAGCCTTTTTTGGATGTCAATCAGCCTTAGTCCGGTGACAGACCTCACATCCTTTTATGTAGGCTTCCATGTCACGGCGCATTCGGGGCCACCAATAATCCCATAGGATGAGTTCTTTAATTTTCTTGATACTGGGATGTCCTGCCATGATGTGGTCATGTCTGAGGGCAATGATTTCGCCACATAACTGTCGGTCTACTGGGATATAGATACGACCATCGTACCAAAGTAAATCTTGGTTCCAAGAGACTCCCTTTTTGTGGTTAAGGGAGTCTGAGATTCTCCTGTCCCACTTCCGAGGGTCATGAGTGGCTAACTTGATCCTTTCATGCAGCTCCTCAGTCATGGGCATCACCAGTGCTTGGAAATGTTCAGCCTTTAGTACTACCACATTTTTATTGTCCTCTTTCCCCTGGTCATGATCCGATCGCCTTGACAAGAGATCCACTTTGCGGTTCTGGGCTCCAGGTTTATGATGAAGGGTGAACTGGTATTCGGCTAGTTCCGTT